GGAAGAATTAGTAAGGAAGCAAAAATGGATGGGAACCTGGGAGGCAGTGACCATGAGATGCTCGAGTTCAGGATCCTGACGCAAGGAAGAAAGGAAAGCAGCAGAATACGGACCCTGGACTTCAAAAAAGCAGACTTTGACTCCCTCAGGGAACTGATGGGCAAGATCCCCTGGGAGAACAACATGAGGGGGAAAGGAGTCCAGGAGAGCTGGCTGTATTTTAAAGAATCCTTATTGAGGTTACAGGTGTCACGGAGTCCCTGGGCGATGCTCTGGAACTGCTCCCCATGAAGTCAGTCAGGACTCTGGGGTAGTCGCCTTTCTGTGAGCAGCCTGTCTTCAGGACACACAGCTCACACAGCTTCCACCTTCCTGGGTCTGACCTCGGAGCATTCAGCATCCTCTGCCTCTCCATGCGCTTTCCCCCAGCGAGTCCGCTCAGGCGGTGCTCCTGGGGAATCCAGAGGGTCCTGCACCCCAACTTCGCAGTCAGACGTGACTCTCAGCCAGCCAGTAAAACAGAAGGTTTATTAGACGACAGGAACATGGTCTAAAACAGAGCTTGCAGGTGCAGAGAACGGGACCCCTCAGCTGGGTCCATTCTGGGGGGGCAGTGAGCCAGACAACCACGTCTGCACTTCACTCCATGTCCCAGCCAGCCCCAAACTGAAAACCCCCTCCAGCCCCTCCTCCTCTGGGCTTTGTTCCTTTCCCGGGCCAGGTGGTCACCTGATTCCTTTGTTCTCCAACCCTTTAGCTCTCACCTTGCAGGGGGGAAGGGCCCAGGCCATCAGTTGCCAGGAAACAGGGAGTTGGCCATTCTCTGTTTCCAGACTCCTGCACACACCTGCCCTCTAGGGCTCTGCAATGATCATACACCCTTTCCCCACCCCCTAGATACTTAAGAACTGCCTAGGGGAAACTGAGGCACCCCCACACTATTCAGAGGAAACATTAAGAACAGTCCCACTTCGTCACAACAGGGACAAACCATCCTGATGTGTAGAAAGAATAGTAAATATGGCAGGCGACCAGCTTGGCTTAACAGTGAAATCCTTGCTGATTTTAAACACAAAAAAGAAGCTTACAAGAAATGGAAGATTGGACAAATGTCCAGGGAGGAGTATAAAAATATTGCTCGGGCATGTAGGAATGAAATCAGGAAGGCTAAATCACACCTGGAGTTGCAGCTAGCGAGGGATGTTAAGAGTAACAAGAAGGGTTTCTTCAGGTATGTTGGCAATAAGAAGAAAGCCAAGGAAAGTGTGGGCCCCTTACTGAATGAGGGAGGCAACCTAGTGACAGAGGATATGGAAAAAGCTAATGTACTCAATGCTTTCTTTGCCTCTGTCTTCACGAACAAGGTCAGCTCCCAGACTACTGCACTGGGCAGCCCAGCATGGGGAGGAGGTGGCCAGCCCTCTGTGAAGGAAGAAGTGGTTCGGGACTATTTAGAAAAACTGGACGTGCACAAGTCCATGGGGCCGGATGCGTTGCATCCGAGAGTGCTAAAGGAATTGGCGGATGTGATTGCAGAGCCATTGGCCATTATCTTTGAAAACTCATGGCAATCAGGGGAAGTTTCGGAAGACTGGAAAAAGGCTAATGTAGTGCCAATCTTTAAAAAAGGGAAGGAGAAGGATCCTGGGAACTACAGGCCGGTCAGCCTCACCTCAGTCCCCGGAAAAATCATGGAGCATATCCTCAAGGAATCAATTCTGAAGCACTTAGACGAGAGGAAAGCGATCAGGAACAGTCAGCATGGATTCACCAAGGGCAAGTCATGTCTGACTAATCTAATCGCCTTCTATGATGAGAACTGGTTCTGTGGATGAAGGGAAAGCAGTAGATGTGTTATTCCTCAACTTTAGCAAAGCTTTTGACATGGTCTCCCACAGTATTCTTGTCAGCAAGTTAAAGAAGTATGGGCTGCATGGATGCACTACAAGGTGTGTGGAAAGTTGGCTAGATTGTCGGGCTCAATGGGTAGTGACCAATGGCTCCATATCTAGTTGGCAGCCGGTATCTAGCGGAGTGCCCCAAGGGTCGGTCCTGGGGCCGGTTTTGTTCAATATCTTCATTAATGATCTGGAGGATGGTGTGGATTGCACCCTCAGCAAGTTTGCAGATGACACTAAACTGGGAGGAGTGTTAGATACGCTGGAGGGTAGGGATAGGATACAGAGGGCCCTAGACAAATTAGAGGATTGGGCCAAAAGAAATCTGATGAGGTTCAACAAGGACAAGTGCAGAGTTCTGCACTTAGGACGGAAGAATCCAATGCACCTCTACAGACTAGGGACTGAATGGCTCGGCAGCAGTTCTGCGGAAAAGGACCTAGGGGTGACAGTGGACGAGAAGCTGGATATGAGTCAACAGCCTGCCCTTGTTGCCAAGAAGGTTAGTGGCATTTTGGGCTGTATAACTACGGTCATTGCCAGCGGATCGAGGGACGTGATCGTTCCCCTCTATTCGACATTGGTGAGGCCTCATCTGGAGTACTGTGTCCAGTTTTGGGCCCCACACTACAAGAAGTATGTGGAAAAATTGGAGAGAGTCCAGCGAAGGGCAACAAAAATGATTAGGGGTCTGGAACACATGACTTATGAGGAGAGGCTGAGGGAACTGGGATTGTTTACGGAAGAGAAGAATGGGGAGGGATTTGATAGCTGCTTTTAATTACTTGAAAGGTGGATCCAAAGAGGATGGATCTAGACTATTCTCCGTGATAGCAGATGACAGGACAAGGAGTAATGGTCTCAAGTTGCAGTGGGGGAGATTTAGGTTGGATATTAGGAAAAACTTTTTCACTAGGAGGGTGGTGAAACACTGGAATGCGTTAGCTAGGGAGGTGGTGGAATCCCCTTCCTTAGAAGTTTTTAAGGTCAGGCTTGACAAAGTACTGGCTGGGATGATTTAGTTGGGATTGGTGCTGCTCTGGGCAGGGGTTGGACTAGATGGCCTCCAGAGGTCCCTTCCAACTCTGTTATTCTATGATTCTATGTCACACACCACCTTATGTAGCTTTTCCATATGGTAGGAACCATTTGTTCCAAACTCAGTTCCCAGTCCAGTTTGTGGAAAAATACAGGTATCAAAATAGAGTTCAGTGTCATTTGGTCTGGTCACATGCCCTGCTGAGTCATAGTAACCATGACTCATATGCTGGCTGAAACATTCACAGGAAGGCTAAGCTCTTCCACAGTCCATTGTCTTTGTTGATGAGCAATCAGCACTGTCTGGCTTTTTCATTGTTGTACCTGAAAGGCTAGTTGTGGGTGTTACCCAGAGTACGCATATTTGAAATACAGATACATAGTCAATGTCCATAACTTCAGATACAAACATGATCCATGCACACAAATAGGATAATCATATTAATCAAATCATAACTTTTCCCATGACACCACACATGATGTATCTTGCACAAAATGCATCATAATTATGTCCTAAAGCCCACCCAAAATTCCTTCTTTCAGAATACTGTGGCGTATTGCACCTGTTTGTGGTTACTCGTTAGTTTGTCAAAATGAGGGTGCAGAATATCTGACCCGGGCTTCTCTCCTTAGGCTTATTCAGGTAAATCCCAGACTTCAGGATAAATACTCCCACAAAGCCTCAACCTAATATAAAGCCCTTAACTGTAGCAAGATTAATAACCCATTTATTTATGTTCACCTCCTTGCTCCTCTATGCATATTCCAAGCTAATAAGCAATACTCTGATAAAGACATTTTATTCCTCTAGCGGGTATAAAATTGCCCACAAGACATGAGACTAGGTCATAGATCATAAAATCAGGTCGGGGTCAACAGGAGTGAGAGTCTTGTCCCCCCTCTCCCCAACTGCCCCAGCCACAAGCTGTCTTCCCTCCAGGCTCCTTGGATCTTTGAGCCTGTCCCTTTTGAGGTTGCGTGGCCCAGTTCTTGTTTCTTACATTCTCCTTTTCCGGAAGAATTAGAGGCTGTTGTTCCTGAATGTTAGTGTTTAATTCCCAACCTTCTCCACAAACTGGTGGAGTTTAATTCTCCCTCTTATTACACTTGAGTCACTAGATTTCCTAATTCCCCAAAATGTGCTTTTGCGATATAACAGTTCTGGGGTAGCTAAGCCTTTGACCTTCCTCCATGGTCTGCTCAAGGAATGCCCTCTCAGGTATCAGGCCTCTAGCCAGCCCCTCCCTATCGGTAGGGACCCACATGCCTCTCCTTTTGACCAGGGTTTGAGGATTGCAGCTTGTTCTCCACTGTGTTCACTGGACTAACATCCAGTTCCTGTGCTTTGCTTTCTCTCCAAGAGCTGTGAGCAGTGTGTGTGTGGATAGAGGTGGGAATTCTGCTGATACTTCTATTATGTGAATACACACTTCAGTTTCCCTCTGTGATTGGTATTGCTTTGATTAGAAAGAGCAGGAGACATGAGGTGTTTTGTTATGTAGCTGTCATAGGGTGATGTGAATGGGTCATTAAGGACTGTCTGGGATCAGCCTACATCAATGGAATACCCGACAGAGACAAGGGAATAATTGTCACCTGGCCATGGGAGGATCTCCGCTCGGCTGAATGAAGCATACATGGACTCGTTGTGTTTTTGGGAGCAGGAAGAACTGGGCTTGCAGATGCAGGGAGTTGTACTGGAGTGAAGACAAATGGACAGGCACAGTGAAAGGAAAACAAAATGTTTTCTACAGCAGCAAGGCTCAAGGGCCTTGTGGGGAGGGATAGCTCAGTGTGTTTGAACATTGGCCTGTTAAACCCAGGGTTGTGAGTTCAATCCTTGAGAGGGCCATTTAGGGATCTGGGGCAAAAATTGGGGATTGGTCCTGCTTTGAGCAGGGGTTTGGACTAGATGACCTCCTGAAGTTCCTTCCACCCCTGATATTCTATGATTTTAAGGGCATTGGCCAGTCTGGACTACATAGAGAAGCAAAGACAAACAACTTTCCAATGCTTTGTTTCAGTTGACTAATGAACCCTGCTATGTTTTACAATTCTGCCCAGTGTGCGAGCAAAAACTTGCTGAGGTGCATTGAAGCATGAATGAGGAACGGTCTCTGAAGAGGAGTGTCGTTCAGCTGGACCTGCTGGCAGAGCTCACAGGTTGAAATAGGAGTTTTGAAGCCAGAGGCTCAGTCTCAGGTGGTGAAGCTGCATGGCCTATCCTTGTGAAAGAGTGGGACCCCTTGGGGGTCTAGCGCACTCAAGGGGCACGTCCCAAGGACTGTTTTAAAATCCAGGGCATAGCACAGATCCTATGGATCCATGACAGTGGGCCAGAGGTTAAACCTTATGAGGTTAAACCTTATGAGCATCTAAATGCATATTTACCATCACCCCCTCATCAGTTCTCTTGGGAATCCCTGATCGGTTCCGAAGTGTATTAAAACCTTTCTTAAAGGGTTACCTCTTGGTTATCAGGTCAAGTCAGTTTGTAGCCCAAAAAGCCCCCTCAATCAGCTCAAACTCAGTTATTTCTCCCCAAAAAGTCTGTCTTTTTCAGTCTCCTGAAAAAGGTAAAATCAGTCACTGCCCCCTTCTGCATTGGGCAAAGCTTCAAATGATGGGAGATCTGCATAACCAGCCTTGAGATCTGGCATTCATCACCCCTTAGTCACATCAGATTGCACAGGAAACCCATCCCTGAGCCCTCCCTGGTATCATCTGGCCCATCTCAGCATCATAGTCTGTGAAGTGTTCATGCTTTCAAGGGCTGGCTCATATATACACATAACAGTCATAACACAGCCAGTGTTTGCTGGCAATGAAAACAGAGTAATTGACAAACATGAGCAATATCTAACCCTTTACAGCATGAAAGTGCATTGGGGGGAGGGGACAGCAGCCAGCTGTGTGGGGGAGGGGGGGCCCAGACACTGGGCATAGAGAGCCTAGAGTCAGCTGTGTGCTGGGGAGGCAGGGCGTGAACCAGATATGTGCAGGGGAGATGAGCAGGGGAGAAGTGCTGTGGACACAGCTGAGAGCAGGTGCGAGTGCCGTCTGCTCTGCAGCATGATGAGGGAGCCCAGCGTCCGACTACCAAGTGCCCTGCCTGCCCAGGGGAAGCTCCACAGTGGTTTTGCTGAGTCCAGACTTGTATGAGGAGGGAAGAAATTAGCAAGTCTCAACAGCAGCCAGCCTCTTCCCTGTGTCCCGGGGAGGAGTCAGGTGTCTCCAGGCAGAAATCGGGGGTGGGGTGGGGGCATGACCCTGTGTGCCCAGCCCACACATCACCTCTGCTCTGCACCCTGGGGTTGAGTCAGGTGTCTCTGGGCAGAAATCTGGGGGTTGTGATCCTGCATGCCCCACCCACCCTCTGTTCAGCAATTCCGGATGTGAAGGGTGATTCCAGAAATGAAGAGTAACTTTGGAAAAAAATGCAGTCATAACGGCAATTTCTAGAAAACACTGGCCCTAGTTGTAACATTAAATACGGTAGTCTCAAGATGGATGCCTGTGTTCATTAGATCTGTCACTCTGCCTTCACATAGTTCACTCGGCTGGTGGGTTCTACCTCTTCCCCCGTTCTGTGTCCGCCTTGTCTATTTAGATTGTAAATTCTTCATGGCATGGGCCATCTACTATTCTGGGTTTGTACTGTGCCGAGCACAACAGGGACCCACTGTTAATTGGCCCTTAGGCATGAAGATAATGAATATGATTTATAATAATAATTCTCCTGCCACTTTGAGCCAAAGAAGCTGGCCTTGGGATGTTACTACTTAAAAATGAGCTGGGGTTAAAGCTATGGAATATTCTTTGTGACAGGTATCCCACAAATTCCACGGACCTTCCTTATTTTCTTTGCTTTGAGCAGGGTTTCCAGTTTCCAAACCTGATGTGATTTCATGGCTGGAACAAGGGGAAAACCCGTGAGTCCCAGATCTCCATGGCAGTGAGAAAAAAGTGCTCCCGAGAGCTGCATGCAAAGGTGAGGAACTGGTGAAACCAATTCAAAAACTGTCTGTGAATACAGGAAACATTTAGGATGCCCTACAAAGACCTTGTGAGCTCTCTAAGTTGAGGATTGTTCCTTGCAGATGTGGAATCATGAGGCAGATGTCACTCATGGCTTCCCACGTACCCTGACTGACAACTGGCAGCAGGTCCCTCCCCAATCTTCCTTTCCCTGAGATTTATGGTGAGATGCAGACCCAGAACTAATCCCTTCCTCTCTCCTCTGGGGAAAGGTTTGATCTCTCCCACACATACTTTGGTTTGTTAATTCTTTTTTCCATTCCTGTCTCTAAGATTTCCTTTCTCTCTGGCGCAGGGAGTGACCTATGTCTGGATTCTCTCTGTCTCCCATTAGGTGTTGGGATGGTGAATGAGAATGAGGAGAAACCCCAGCAGGAAGATACTGAGCAAGTAGAATCCCATGAAATGTTATCAGGAAGATCCAAAGGAAATGATTCTGGAAGTTGTGCACTCCCAGAAAAAGAAGAAACTTGTGAGAGTCAGCACAGGCCAGAGGAAAACCTCAGTAGCCACTCAGACCTTATTAAACACGAGAGAATCAACATGAAAAAGACACGCTACACATGCCATGAGTGTGGGAAAAATTTTAATCGGAGCTCAGAACATATCAGACATAGGAGAATCCACACAGGAGAGACGCCTTACACATGCTCTGAGTGTGGGAAAAGCTTTAGTCAGAGCTCAAACCTTATCAGACATCGTAGAATGCACACAGGGGAGAAACCCTACACGTGCTCTGAGTGCGGGAAAAGCTTCAGTCGGCGCTCAAACCTTATCACACATCAGAGAATCCACACGGGTGAGAAACCTTATAGATGCTCTGAGTGTGGGAAACGCTTCATTGATGGTTCAGCCCTCATCTCACATCAGCGAATCCACACAGGAGAGAGGCCGTACACATGCTCTGAGTGTGGAAAAGGCTTCAAACACAGCTCACACCTTATCACACATCAGAGAATCCACACAGGTGAGAAACCTTATCGATGCTCTGAGTGTGGGAAGCACTTCATTGATGGTTCAGCCCTCATCTCACATCAGCGAATCCACAGCGGAGAGATGCCCTACGCCTGCTCTGAGTGTGGGAAAAGCTTCAATCAGAGCTCACACCTTATCACACATCGGAGAATCCACACGGGTGAGAAACCTTATCGATGCTCTGAGTGTGGGAAGCACTTCATTGATAGTTCAGCCCTCATCTCACATCAGCGAATCCACAGCGGAGAGATGCCCTACATATGCTCTGAGTGTGGGAAAAGCTTCTATCAGAGCTATGCTCTGATCACACATCAGAGAATCCACACTGGAGAGATGCCCTACACTTGCTCTGAGTGCAGGAAAAGCTTCATTCATAGTTCAGCCCTCATTTCACATCAGAGAATCCACACAGGAGAGAGACCCTACACCTGCTCTGAGTGCAGGAAAAGCTTCAATCAGAGCTCTGCCCTGATCACACATCAGAGAATCCACACAGGAGAGAGACCCTACACATGCTCTGAGTGCAGGAAAAGCTTCAGTCGGAGCTCTGCCCTGATCACACATCAGAGAATCCACACAGGAGAGATGCCCTACACATGTTCTGAGTGTGGGAAAACTTTTAGTTGGCACTCAAACCTTATCACACATCGTAGAATACACAGTGGAGAGAGACCCTACACATGCTCTGCGTGTGGGAAAAGCTTCAATCAGAGCTCAAGCCTTATTAGACATAATAAAATCCACATGAGAGAGAACTGTAATAAATGCCTTGACTAGGGCTGGCCAAAGATTTTTTTTTTTTTAAAAAATCACATTTGCTAATTCCCACATAGTGATCTTTGCACCATCTTCACCGTGGTCTCTCAGCTCCCCCAGATGAGTTGCCTGCTTCTGCCTTTTGCTGCTCACCCTTCTTTGGGGTCAGTCTTGGAATCTTTTCTATCAACTCCTTTCGTTTTGAGTTGTAGGAGTGTGTCCCCCTCCAGCCAGGAATTTTCATCCGCTCCAGAGAGATGGTTTGATTCCAACAAGCTTCACTGAGGCAAAAACTACCTGTGCCTTACATCCACTAGGATTGTACATGGCGTTGACGGCAGATCCTGTTAGTGATCTTGGTGTAAAAAGACAATTACAGTTGTAGAGCTGATGCAGCCCAGGTGCAGTGGTTGCATTAGCTTTCCTCTTGACCTGACCTAAACTCCATCACTTTTTCTAGTCTAAACAAACCCTGAGCATCACGGTTACACTGTTTCCCCCATTTCAAAGCAATTGTTAGTCATCAAGTTTCCACTTCGGGAACAAATTGTTTCATTCCTAGTTGCTCTAGTGTTGCTTCAGGTTGTGCTGGAGAGCAGATATTTTTTACTACCATTTTCCTCACTTAAAATATATTGAACTATAACAAAGAGTAGGAACAGGGCAGGGATAGGGGAAAAGATCATTTCACCCTCTGTAACAACAGAAGAAGATAGGGTAAGTCAGAGGGATTCCCTTATTCCCCATCACTATCCCAACGCCCATGTTGTTCAATTGGTTAGGTCAATATTTTTTCTAAAGGGCTGGGAAGAGGATTGCCTAATAAATGACTTGTAACTAAGCAAAATACCCATGCATTTGGCTCCCAAAGCAGTTGTGACGCACGCCCTGCAGGAGGTCACTCCTGCAGATATCTCCTTCCAAATCAGATGCATGATGCCTATTATTTGGGAAATGCAATCCCTAGCTAGGTAGAAATGGAAAAAATGAAACTGACATTTCTGTTCCGCTCACCCCTGGAAGATGCTGCAAATGTGTAGAAAATGAAATCCGTGTTGAATGTGATAGAGCTGTAGAAAGATACCTATTTTTAATAGATTCCTGACTTTTGGTGTCTTACAGGGATTTTAAGACACAGCTGAATTTAGTCCCTAATTTAAATCCTTGCCACCAGATTAAAGAAATAAAAGGCCATATTTGGGGGATTTATACCTCATTATCGCAACTGATATGTTGTGTGGTTGATGAAGAATTCTACCCCAGAGAAGTGTAAAATTACTCCAAGTAAGGTCAACGATTTGACAAGAACTCAGGTAGAAATTACAGGTTTTAGTGGTTGATTTTCACCCAAAGAGATGGACGCTGTGGTGACCTATGGCCCAGGTAAACTATTTTTAGAACGCTGATCTCTAGTTAAGTGGAATTGATCACACTCCTAAAGGATGCTATCATTAAATTGTGAACAGCTGTCTTCTACCATTTGGCTCCAAAGTTTCATGAACCACAGAGAGAAACAGCTGATTGCTTCAGAACGATTCTATGCCTATGGGTCCCAGTCTGGCTGCCTTGTTGGACAAGAAGCACTTCCATGCTGGGCAAATGATGGTAGCCAATGGGGGAATGTATCAGATTACAAGTTCAGACTGCGGGACACATGAATGCTGAGTCGTCATGCTGTGGTTTTGTCTCTTAGTTTTGTTCTTGAGTCTAATGAACTCACAGAAATGGAAGGCTCCTAGGTTATTGTAGAATGTGACTTCACACAAAGCTCACTGAGTGGAAATGGGAATAAAGACAAAACTTCCCTATTGGTTTATATTTTTAATCTTTGAATAAGTTGTTACCAGCGACAATGAAATTAAACATGAAGTTAATTAGTGAAACGTAAGAGGCTGATTCTGTGATAACTTTCAGTGTTACAGTATAATTCAGCTTTTCTTCTAGTTCTCTCCCTGCCCCCTCCTACTATATCGGAAATGGTGACTAATCCTGAAATTAAAACCTTACTCCAAAGGAATTAGAGTGGGGGAATATGTGAGAGAAATAGCATGTACGAGAACAGAGACCCAGTATAGGCTGTAATTATTTGTATTTCAAATGGAATTCATTTTGATAAATTTTAAGATCTTCTGTTAAGAGGAAAATTACTTGAGACAAGATGTGAACTTTTTATCCAGTTAGAGGGGAACAGCCACAGAGTTCCCCAGGTCTCTTGTTTGCAAAGCAAAGATGTCACATCAGGCAGGAGATGTCAAAATCTAAAATGGTGATGGATGTGTGATGGGAGCTTTTCTGGGTTGTTTGGGTTTTTTTGTTTGTTTTTTGTTTGATTTGTTTTTTTCATTTAATTTTTGTTTTCTTTTTGCAACCAGGTATTTTTATAGGGCCTGAGGCCCCTTTTCCTTCCAGCTGTTTAACCCTCAGGCCTGGCTCTGGAAACCTCCTCAGAACTGGCCTTGTGTTACTTTCATGTTTCATATCTTTGGGGTTCACACACCCACACTACATGCAGTTCACAGCAACTGTTCTTTTGAGAAACCTGCTGGGTTAAGCGGGCCTTTTCCAAACTGACATTAGCCCAAAGTCTGCCTCAATTCAGCTGGATTGGAACATGTCTGTATCAAAGGAGTGGTTCACACCTGATTTGCCCAGAGACCTTGGGGGAGGTGTGGTAAAATAGGATAAGTAGGAGTCAACAACAATAAAGGTAAAGGCGAAAGACCTTCACCTTGCAGGTCAACAAGCCTGTTCTATTCATTCCCTCTGAAGCATCTGGCACTGGTCACTCTTAGGCAGCACACAGGGCGAGATGGACCATTGGTCTGACCCAGTATGACCAGTCTTGCGTTCTTATGTAAGTCGTCTACGGCCTTGTCTATGCTGGCAAGTTTCTGCACGGTAAATCAGCTTTCGGTGGTGTAACTTCTCAGGTGTATGCACGGACAAGCCACTTAGTGCTCAGAAACTGTGCAGTTGCAACACTGTAAAAAAAAAAAAAAACATCCTGACGAGCGGCGTAGAGCTTTCTGCCCCGGGGCTACAGCACCACGATGCCAGTGGAGACACCCTGGTCGCTTACAGCGCTGCGATTGGCCTCCAGGAGGTGTCCCACAGTCCCTGTTCTCGCCTCTCTGATCATTGGTTTGAACTCTACTGCCCTGCCTTCAGGTGACCAACCATAAATCCCATCCCTTAAATTCCTTGGGAATTTTGAAAGTCCCCTTCCTGTTTGCTCGATGACACATGCAGTGGTCTCAGCGCATCTTTCCAGGTGACCATGCCTGCTCCATGCACCAGCGATCCCCCGCGTGGAGCAATGCCGAGCTGCTGAACCTCATCAGCATTTGGGGAGAGGAGGCTTTCCAGTTCCAGAATTATGATACCTACAGCGAGATTTCACAATGCATGAGAGAAAGGGTCCATGACAGGGACACCCTGCAGGGTAGGGTCAAAGTGAAGGAGCTGTGGAACGCCTATCGCAAGGTGCAGGATGCAAACCGCCGCTCCGGTGGTGTGCCCAAGAGCTCCTGGTTCTACACTGAGCTGGAAGCGATACTTGGTGGTGACACACCTCCACTGTGAATGCCACTGTGAATACTTCGGTGGCTCATGTGCCAGTCAAGAGTGGACCAAACCAGGAGGAGGAAATCTTGGATGAGGATGTGGAGGCGGAGGGGGACCCAGACGCAGAGGACAACTCGGAGGTGAGAGATGCATGCAGCCAGAAGTTCTTCTCTACCCCAGAGGAGGCTAGCCAGTCACAGCTGTCAGAACTTGGTGAAGTGGAAACAGGAGAGGAGGCCCTTGGTAATTGGCTTTGGTTTTGGGAATCATGGAAGCAAGTTGTTGGGGGCAGGAGGGTTGCAGAAGGAAGGTTTGTGTCTGTATGATGTGCATACCACCACATACTTAGTCTGAGCAGTGGAATAGGGTGTTCATTGACTCCCTTACTTCACAGGAATCTGCCCCAGAGATCTCCATGAAACTCTCATGGAGATACTGGGCAATCTGCTGCTGCAGGTTCTTTGGCAGAGCTGCTTTGTTTCTTGCCCCATTAACGGTAACTTTCCCGTGCCACCCTGCCATCACTGAGGGGGGGGGGCATTGATCATTGCTGCACACAGGCAAGCTGCATAAGGGCCAGGGCAGATGCCAGTCTTGGAGAAGACCCGCCCTTGATTTCCTGCTCACCCTCAGCAGCGAGATATCTTCCACAATGAAAGCAGCCTGTGGAAAATGTGGGCACACGAATGATTATAAGCGCCCACACACACACACACACACATAGAGTGCTTTCTCTCCCCAAGAGCCATGTGCCCAGTGTACAGGTCCTGGAACAGTGATTTCTCCTACCCTTGCTGTTACCATTTTGGGGGAGTTGTGGCTCATGTGATTGCCTGGGGTCAGCCAGTTAGTGATAGGTATGTGCATAGGGACTGTTTTTTAAATCACTGCATCAGTGGTCTGTGTGTTGCAGACAAGACTGCTTCTGTAAATTGTTGCATTTTGGTCTCAGATATGACCTTGGGAGCCGAGCTTCCGTCTTTGTTATCACTGGCTGAACTGCTATGCAGAATTAGAAAGCAGCCGTGAAGAACTAAAGAGAACTTTCTGCATGATGTCATGATGCACTCCATGGCCGAAAAACAAGAATTGAAGGAAAGGCCGGACAGCGAGAAGAGGGACCGAAAGGAAAACGCAGTGCCCCAGAAACAAGCCATGGAGTGGCTCTTAAACGTTTTGGAGTGCCAAGCGGACACGGTCCAGGCACTGCTAGCTCTGCAAACTGAGCAGCTCCGCACCCGCCCTCCCCTGCACCCACTATCACAAAACTCCCCCCAGATACTGCCAACATACTCCAATCTGTACCCGCTGCATTCCACTCCTGCACCATCACAGTCCAGCCCTGTGGCCACCCAGTACCCACTGCACTCCACACCCATCCATCTGCAGTTATTCCTGCTGAAGTACAGTACCTGCTGCACTGTATTCCAAAGGATAAGATTGCATATGATACCTAGTGTGATACAGCATGTCCAGAGGGCAGCAGGAGAGTGGGGGTTCTTTTAAGCAAAAAAAGTGGTTTTTATTTGCATAACACACTTACACATTGCATATGCTGTTGTTTTTGTTTTGTGACACAGCAACCAATCACAATTGTTTTCTCATTAGCTTCAGGGGAGGGAAGTGTTCAAGCTCGTCTGGCCCAGGGCGGGGGGGCTTCCTCGACTCACGTGGTCTTCCACCCTTCCGAGTTACCTGGTGGCCCAGAGTGAGGGGGCTTCATCGACTCTCAAGTTCTGCCACCCCCTCGAGTTACCTGGCGCCATGCCCAGTGTCACCAACAATTCCCTCCTTTGAAAGCACCCAACAAGAGGGGCAGGCTGTGGGGTGGACAACCCGGGGGGGGGGGCACGTGCACCCACGTGTGAAAGGACCCCTCTAAGGTGGTGGTGTCCGCAGCAGCAATGGTTGGGGCTGGGGTCCCTTACTCTCTCCCCCAATCAAAGAGTCAAACAAAGGGAACCGGATGGGGACACCGAGCAGAGAATCTCGGACAGCGCCCACCGCTCCTCAAAAGCATCAAGGGAGTCAGTGGACACTGCCCAGAGGAACTCCGCCCAGGTACGTGAAAGGACCGGGGATCGAAAAATGGCCCCACAGTCACAGGAAACTCCATCAGCCAACCTCCTCGCTGTGGTTTTATAGATGGCTGTTTCAACCAGGGCCAGGAGGAGGTTAACTAGCAGATCCTGCGCCTTTGTGAGGCTGTGGATGGGGAGTGCATAAATAAAAAGGTGAGGGGAAAAATGCAACCAAAAACGTAATAGAAGATTTGTGAGGAGCCGGAACAGGGGCTGCAGCCTGGTGCACTCCAAATATATATGCGCCAGGGTTTCCCTCACACCGCAAAAGGGACAAGTAGCTGGGATGGGGGTGAACCGCTCCAAGTACGTGCCCGTGCCCACAGCTCCATGAAGGAGCCGCCAACTAATCCCCCGACGGGCCTCGGAACCAAGGTGGAATATAGGCTGGCCCACCGGGGCTGCTCACCCTCCTAAGGTGGCAACCGGCTCGCAGTAAAGGGCTGAGGGGGTTGATTGGGTCTACGGGGCAGGGGTCCAATTAAAAGGTCCAGTGGGCCTGGAGTAGAGGGTGGGCGGGGCGTGCCCTCGAGCAGAACCTGGTCGAGGTAAGCTCGAGCAGCGGGTGGCAAAGTGGCCTTCGCCTCCTCAAGTATGCGCCGGGGGGTAGGAAGTCTGGAGAGCCCCATGAGCTGAGCGAGCATCAGGGGATCCAGCCAGTCTCCCCA